AGAATTTATACTTGTACAGTTGTACTACTTAAAAACCCAATGACTAATTATAAAATAATTTGTTATTAATATCTTTCAAATTGTTATTAAATCGTACATAATTAGTAGTCATAAACTAATTATATTATTTACTATTTTTATGTCATTATTTCAGCGGAAGCAATGATGTCTGTAGTCTGATTTTTTTCTTGATAGATTACTATACCTATAATCTATATATTTATACATAAAACGGTTTTCGATTGTGTTTCTTGTACATATTGCGTCCGTCAWCATGAACCTATTACACACAGATTTTTTTCAAATTTCTCAGAATGTTTGGCTGTAACCGAGTTCAATGATCGCTACATTGCCACAACCTGCATAATCAAAACGCCTTCCTTAACATTAACGTAGATGGACTGGCTCAATGCCGCTTGGTTTGTCACTTTCACTTTTGCGCGCAGGCCTTGGGCTATAACCAGTGTAGCCTGGTGTTAGCTAACTAAAAGCATAGTTCATAATGATTGCACTCTGAGAACCGCAATTTGGTCCGAGAATCAGATTGTTTAAATTGAATATTTGCATATAAAATGTTTATAAATAGAATATGTAATGTGTGGATAATATATTATTATGTATATCTACATAGTACATATATATATATATATGAAATGTGCATTGCAATGTAATTATAATTTATCTTATTTATTTATTTATTTTTGTAAATTAACGGCTCGGAGAACCAAAGATATTATCAAATGAGCTAAAAAGCTTTTACGGTTGTGTTTTAGAATTTGGACTGAAAAAAAGATTTTGAAACAGCTGTGTTAAATGTAAAACGAAGACCCGGGAAGATTAAGATAAAATGACACAGACGTTGGACAAAACAAGTATACCTTCATTTTTCAGTGAACTAAGATATAATATCTGTTCTTTTCAGGTTCAATAATATAGTAATATGTTATGCACTTATATGTGTGTTATATATAGGACTTAATCATACAAATATATATAACTAAACGAGTTTTATATTAGTTATTASTTATTATACATAGTCAATAGTCGCGAATCGCGTATGTTTATACTTAATATTATATTGGTACTATATGTGTGACCAATATATGGCACCCATATTGGTATTTGTTACTGATATTTTTGGACAGAATGGAGTCGATGACTTTTTTACGATGTAGTGTTGAACAAATGTTATCCAATATATTTAACAACAACACGACGTGACCGTATTYTAAAAAATAAAAAACTTACTCCGCGCGTCGAGGTTTTTGACCCCCTACAACCTTCTAACAGTGTCCACCTTCGTGCAACTAGTCCAGGGACATCTGGTATAACGAATTATTGAAATATTAGATAAATATCTCCTACATTGCAATTACACTGATCTGCCGAAATATTTACACCACTGGAATTGTTATTTCTCGAAAGTACCTTACAGTTTATCTTTGATTAGTAATACGGCACTGTGTTTGATTGTCTATCAATAATTGTGAAATATGCCTAGGTACTTCAAACAGAAGCCGAGGGGGTTTTGGCTTAWACGGATGACGGATAACGTCTATTGTGTMTAGTAATATTTGTATACGTGTTACTTTGCTTAGTTATAGGTTTATTATTATACGTAGATTTAAATTGTCTCGCGTGATCGCAAAAACTTGATCTCGGAGTAAACGATAAAGACAATAGCGAAATCGCTATATTATCATCGTCAAGAACACATAATTTTATACGATTAATAATAAMAATCAATATTATCGTCGTATACTTAAATAAAAACGCTACAATAGTATATAAATTGAATATCAATCGATCAATACACAAATGCATATGATTCACAATGTGTATTACAATATGGAGTGCACAAGCATACGTGCGCACGTGTGACGTGAGGATGGAGGAGACAAGTAAATAATAATACATAATGAAGTGCGTGAAGTTCATTGTATTCTAAGTTCTAATGCAGCTATGTCGTTTGTTCGATGTGCAAGCGTGATAGGACGCGCGCGACTATACCCACTATATTATAATATTATGAACGATTATAACCTTGGCCCGGTTGTTACCAGTCGACGATTGGAAGCGTCGTTATCTTGTAGTGCTCTAATGTCGTAATCGAACTTTAGAACAGTAAGCACAATAATAACGTATGCGTATAATAATAACAACAATAATTAGAACAATAATTCCATTTCATCCGTTATTGGACGCGTTTTGTCCATTCATTTTATTGTCTTATACTAATACCTGGGTATAATAATAATAATAATTATTATTATTTTATTTTAATTATAATAATTATTATTATTATATAAGTAGGTACATTTAATATCGAAATAGTTCGTTTATTCTACGGATTTTTCATTTTCCATCCATATATCTGCATTTAGTTCTATATTTAGTATATTTATTTAAACCAAACACTATATATATATACTACACCTATATAACCAAACACTCGTATTATCTTTTTACTTTTGCAAACCTGAAACTACTTCATTATATTTTTTCCCTGAACATGTAYTTTTTGCTTTATAGTTCAGGCCAATGCTAAACATAAAAAAATACGATATTATAATATGTTATTGGTCTCGTGTGGTTTGGTGCATCGTGTGCTGCAGCAGAAATGATGAGGACAGGTGTGGAYGGAACGGCAGTTATTATTCTCATGTTATTATCTATTATTTTTTTTTCGTTTTCATTTTTTTCGCTTTTAATCTTCGAGAAGGATGTTGACGTCACAACCTCTAAACTAGTGGATAAAACGTGTACCTATTTAATACCGGCTTTACCTACACAGCTCAAACGGTGCTGGAATTAATTATTGGGCCGGTATGGTTCAAGGCAGATTGAAGCTTCAAGGACCTATTTATTGTGACAACCTATAGCGRAGCTATTGTTCGATTTTTTTTTACTTTTTTTTTGTACAATGTGCATGCCAAATAAACAAAACGTAGGTACAATAATGCCATGATGTTTTTGTAACGGTTTTTAGTGAACATTAGTGCATTATATTATACAGGCTAATAACGTCCTATAAGTAGATGTTTTGCAGGATTACGTTTAAATATATTACATGCATCTCCATACTGGAGATACCATGATGACTAATAACAAATTTAAATAAAAACTATATTAATTATGTATTCATATTTGATAATCATTTATTTTGATCTAATATTATTTATTGGTACTTACTTTTTTTACAATAATTTTAATCTGATCATAGACTATAATCCTAAAATATTATATCTACTATACTTTAAAATATAGTATGAGTAGCGGGTACCAAATGTGAAACACTTATTCACTTTATAGTTGTTTATTTTCTTATTTATAATGACAAGTGTTAATTTGGTTTGTCAATCAGTTTTGATTAAATTTGAATTCATTAATTTAAATGGTAATAWATCAATGATAATCGTATAATAGGTTCATCATTTTAAACTTACAATCTGTTACACAACATTTTATTTAAAATACAATATTTTTCAAATACAATAACTGTATTATAATTTATTTATCATAAAAATTATACATTTGAAAATAATCGAATAGTAGGTACTTAATCGTTAATTTTTTTCAAGTGACGAATGTTTTGCTTTGTTCTAAATCAAACTATTGTTAGAGGTTATCTGTTACTAATAAGTAATTACTTTATGTTTATATTATATTTTAATATATTCTCAACGAAATCATACTTGACACAATATTTTCCATAATTTATTTACATATTAATATTTTTTTTAGTTTTAATTTCATATAATATTTTTGATCAATATATTTATTAGGGAATAATAAACTTCAAATTTTTATATAATATCATAATGATACATTCACAATATTATGTCAATATATTATGCTGCAGGTAAAAGAAACGAACTATAGTGTACAACCTGTCTTAGTATAAATGATTTTTACATATTACGTCAAACTTACTGGATAGTTTCAATAAAGTAAAAATTAAGTTATTTTTCAAATTGCAATGACGTATTTATATAAAATCATGACCGATTTTACCTACTATGTCTAAGGAGAATGTATGTTATTTTATTAAATAACAATTAGTTAAATGACGTAATAGGTAGTATTGGACATTTCAAATGTGTGCTCACAAAACTTTTATTTTTCTAAATAAGAGATAATATAAAAATTAAATTTATAAATGTAACAACATCAAATCATATATTTGTTTTTAACAAATTTATTAAAATAAAATATTTTAATACACTAAATAATATAAAATCGAATGTTGTTTGTAAAAAAATTAATACCTACAACTAATTATAATATTATTACAGGTTAATACAAATTATATATTGTCAACCTTTTTAATTCAATATCAAACGTTAAAAAAATAAGTGCAATTATTTTAAATAAAAACTCTTTATATATTTTACATTAATACACCAATATTTAATAATATAAAGTATTAGGTTACTCTTTTCTCTTGTTATCATTAATAGTCTTGAAATGTATAATATAATAACTATTAATATATAATACAATATAGGTATACCTACATGCGTGTAATATGAAAATATTATAACAACCTCGTCGCATATCACTTTTAACAAGTAAACGAATTAATAAAATAATATACTGTTAAGTATCTCGAAAAACAACAGAATTGTATTTTTTTTTTTTTTATCTCATCGTACGGGGTTATTATACTTACTTATTAGATACTTACATGGTTGCTCGTATATAATTATACATGCAGTGTAGCTACTATAGCATATAAGCTATTTATATACAACCGTAGTACGCAAAAATTATAAATGTTGCAAAATGTGCTTTTTATGAAAAATGTCATTGAATTTCTTCGAGAAATTAAATACCTACGTACACACAGTTTATACTATATAATAATTATTACAACAGCGAATTTTTTTGATAAAAATCCTGTACATAGTAATTTATAATAATAATAATAATGATGATGATGATGATGATGATGATAATAATATTAATAATATATACGCAGGCATTATAGTGTATAATGTATATATATAATATAAATATAATATATAATATATATATATATAATGTATAATGGGAATCTTTCACAAGTACAAATCGTTTGGAAGATGACGGCCAAACTAATTATGGCCATTGATTATTATGTTACTAAATGGTTGAATGGAAGTGGGGACGAGAATATCTCATGTAACGACCTTTGCACTAACCGAGATCTCGGTCGCCGGGTCGTTGGCCGGCCGACAACGGGTGCGAGGTTTTTGCCGCCCGTTTTGCCTTGAACTCGTTTCCAATGATATAGGCAGCCGGTTATTCTATTTTATTTTCCTCTTATCTCTCAAACCTGACTACAACGTTGAACGTAACGCAAAGAACGTTGCTTAGTGTTGTATAATAATGTAATTAATTTGTTTATCTTATTATAAAATAAAGGTGCCGAAAAAATAATGTAATTATAAAGCCTTCTGCATTAGCCGGAACAACAAACTTAACGTTAACCCGTCTATAATTTCRGAATATAATTCGTATTCCGTTTCTCATTATGTGATACGTATTTACCGTAACCTAGGTATAGATAATAAGCTGCCATATAGTTAGGTACGAGAGTACGACGGCTACGGTAGTGCGGTAGTGTGTTGTATTGCTACGATTGCATATGGGATATTGGATATTMACTGTGCCAAAAATATAAAACGGTTTATAATAATAATATATATTGGGTAATGCTACGTGTGCGAATTTCAACTCTAAACTTGGGTGGGTCATCTTTTGTGACAACAATGATGACGATTTGATGATCATTTTTTTGATAAACATAATTATAACAATCGATATCGAGTATTGTTGATGTTCTACAAATGTGTCAGAAAAGCAGTTAAAAAAATATTTTTTTGTTATTCCGTTCTAGCAGACCTTGATGGTTGCAATAATATTGTTGATTTTTAAACCAAGTGTCGTGATTAACAAACGTTTTCAAACGATAACCCATGACTCGAATTCAACGTACCTACATTTTTTTTTTTTTTAACCGTCTTGTTGGATAGTTATACAGGATAGATGCGTAAGCCGGATGCCGGAATTACATCCGGGCCGCGGTATGACAGTCATCGGAATCACATGTTTAATGAATACAGTACATGGCATACGTATTGCATATTTGCACGAGTATATTAAAATGTATCGTTGCGGARTATATTATCATTATTATGTCAATTATTGTTGGGGAATATATTGTGTTAAAACCACGGCGAATGTATGTCACAGTTGTTGGCCGAAAAAGTCCCATGTCTGCCGCTGCGCACAGTAGAGTTATCTTCCAAGAACCATTCTATTTTCGTACGATCGGCTCTTGGCTAGTGTCACATTTTTACATTTGATACCGCCGCTGACATTACTTGTAATAGGCACGAAATAAAATAATAATAATATCTGTAACTATATTCGTGGACGTGAACTTGATTGGCGTAGAGAGAGAATTAAAAACAAACGTCTAACAAATAATTAAAAAAAAAACAGCTCTATTCGTGTTGCGAAAGAACGACAAAAGTTGCCACCGCGTTTTATTGTTACCTGCCGACCAAACGATTATGTCGGACTACCGACTATACCTACCTATATTACAATATWATTATTATTATTATTATATTTCTATTTATTGTATGATACCTTACCTATATATTATTATTATTGCAATGATATTATAATATACACACACTAAAATATATTACAGCGCTATAACGTTGATTTTCTTGCACTTTGATCATAAAAATGAATATTTTAAAATCTAAGCTTGTTTTTTTTTTTATCACTTATCAAAATAAAAATTAATTTTTATATAGAAAATTGTGAACATTTTTATCAGATTAATAATTACAGAAAAAAAAAACTAATATTTGGGTACATTAATTTTTGATTATAAAAATATTAGCTTAATATAATATTTAAAATAAAGGTTAGGGGGAATATATCCCCTACATTTCCAAAATCGTTTGACAGGTCAGTTTAACCAACGTTGCACAGCGATCATCTCTATAGTACCAATTTGAGAACTCAAACTATATGTACAGGGTGATTACAATTTTAACATTATACACCAGTTATCTCTCAAAGTAGGTAAAATTACAATTTTTTGAGGAAAAAATTTATTTTTAAGAACATTAGTAGGTACTTCTTGAGATAATTATTATTTACTATCTACTGTTAAATGAATCATCCTGTAGTGATCAGTATTATAATAATAATACGATGTACCTATATAATAGGCAAACAATTAATAAGTAATAGCTTGTCAAAGCCATATAATGTCGTATCRATTTTATATTTTTTAATTTTAAAGAAGTATAATTAATACCTCCTAATAGACAAAACGATATAAACCGACATTAGTCGTATCTGGCTTCCCAGTCCCCCTCCTTTAAGATTTCAATCCCTATTGCATCTACATAATATACAAACATGTGTATCAGCCACACGTCAGTGATGAGGTTTGGTAAGGCTTTATTCAACGATGATTATAATAATAATAATAATCGCGCATAGTCGAATCCGGGATTCGAAATGACGTCATATGTTAGATATAACGTTTGAAAAACAAATTCGACCTACATATTATAATATATCGGTTATTGTGTTTTTTACGTCGCGTCGCGGCTAATGATCCGACAACACTTGTATAACGACATGAATAATAATAAGTACGATATTACGATGTACACGATGAAATTTCGTTGATTATCATTTATCAGCATTGCAGCGGACTGCGTGGTGTTATCGCTAATGTTCATTTTTGTGTGTTTCCCTAAGTCTTAAGACAAGGGAAACGCAAACGACGGTGATAACTTACTTAAGTCAGCAGCTTCAATAGCTGCGTTTACAAATCTATATAATTTGCGAGTTTATCTCGATATACGCCGTCGCTGTACTTAACTGTACGTAAAGGACGTAATTCGATAGAAGGACGTTCAGACAAAACAAAACCTCCAAGACTTGATACGGTCCGGCGCGTAAAGAATGCCTAGAAATAAAACGTTGGCTGTGTCGTGCACAATCATTATTAAGATCGTATGTCTCGCAGCGCGAACCTATAATAAAACATAATATATGGTATAGTATTTTCAAAGCCCTTTCCTTTTTCGCGTCGGCTGTCACGAAAAGAAATTTCCGAACGCAAACAATACAGAAATTATTCTGCAGCCAAAACTAACAGCCCCTTTGTTGTATGCGGCAACACGCATATTCACATTTACACACACACAAATATATATATATATATATAGAAACGTATGTCGTTCATAGTGTGACATTCAAACGTAGGCATTATATTTTTCCATTTTAAACTTACCGTCGCAGTCTATAAACGGCATGAACCTATTCGTACCATTATTGGCATATATAGCTTTTTTATWTTGGATACATTTWGCATATTATGTTGGTATTTTATTTATTTACTAAACAAACCCAAAATTTAATTATATAATATGCATATAATTATGTAAAACTCTTTTTTCCAATGGGTTTTAGTGCAATATTTACGTTTTAGAAAAAAAATCGATGCGTGTAAAAATAGATTGGCTTTATCCTATCTAATAAAACGAAACTTTTAGGAATCAACTTTTTCGTATAGATATAGCATGTATATTGTATATGGAYATGTGATATTATAATATCGTTACGTCAACGGTGAATATTATGTTAGTCTTATAAATGGGTTAGGTTGTTACTCTGTTACATGTATTATACCTGTGAAAGATGTAACCTGTAACGAGTAAGATGCATGTTACATAAACAAAAATAAAAATCCGAACGAAATTCGCTCTGTCTGGCAATCCGGTTAGGTAAAAGACAACAATAATAATAATAACAAGCCTAATAGTCCATAATATGTTCTTCCTCTATAATATATAGACACTAAAATGTTTACGCAAAGAAACGAAAAATTKAAAAGATAAAAACCCGACAACCAAAAATCGTTTGCATATTTATCATTGTTAATGCGAGTCATGTAGTTATATGCAATCGAAAAAATGTTTCGRTAATAGTAAATATTGACTGATAATAATTAACAACAATGATTTGTGTAAGGGCTGTAAAATAAAATATCGTTTAATCGYGATTAGTCAACGAGAGTAAGTCATTAATCGAAATCAAAACTCCCAATCCCTTGGAACGCAACCACTTACAAAATATCAGTTATTCCCTTACCCACTATAATTTGGGGTGACTTTGAGGCAGACGACCGATATCAGACTCCGGGTGCGCGCGTGCGCCCACGTTTGTGCACACTTTCACGCCGTTTTCGCTTGGTGGTGAGGAAAATAGAATAGCCACGCGGGGGATGATGATGTTTGTTTTCCCGGGATAAGGACGATGAGGTGGGGTACATACAAAAGGCGTATAAATGAGTATAACACAGTACGTGTGTTTTGACGATGTTTAAATATACGGCGACGATGGTGACGGTAGCGTTACCGCCGCCGAACGGGTGGGCGAACTCGCACGGCGCTGACCTACTTACCGCGGCGCAGGTTACCGACCTCTTCCCTCTTCGTTTACACCGGCAGCAGCGGAGGCCCCACTTATAACCTTCACGTGATATACAAACAAGCGCTCACACGCACACATACACGCACACGCTCTCATACCGTCGTCGTTCGCCGGCAGTGGCCTCATCTACCATTGGCGGCCGAAAGTCCCACCAGAAAAAAAACCGTTCGTTTTGCATTAAACAGACAAAGATTGCACAAGCCTCCGCTCCGTGTGTACGCTCGTTTAACACATATATTTTTTTTTCTATTTCGTCTTTCTCGCTTTTCTCCGCCGCCGCCGACAGCGGCTCGATCATTCCCGAACCAATCGCCATCGATATTATACGCCGGTCCCGTTATCGTTGTAGCCGCCGCCGCCGCCGCCGCCGCCGCAACTCAAAAATCCGAAAACTTTGGGAAGAAAAAAATTCTCTCATCGTCGATATTCGTTTCGCGTCACCAAAGACGTTTTTCGACGGTTATGTCCGAAAATATTTTTTTTTAAATACCATTTTCGGCGTTAAACAATCGCGATGGCTGGGCGTTACCCCGTGTTCGCGGTCGCTGGGAGATAGATGCCGCGTGACGCGGGTGTTGTGCGCTACGGGGCGTGCTCGTGTAGCTCGTGTGCGACAAAAGATTGAAGAGAAAGTGACAGTATTCGCTCGATGACCGAACGCGCCGCACGGTGTCGGTCGTATTCGACATAATCGTTAGTTAAGATTTTCTCCCATTATGTACGACGCCGCCGCGCTCTCTTCGACGTGATAACAATAATACGATTGAATTTTTTCTTACTATTTGCGGCGATGCGACTACAGTAGCGATTATTGTTATGTGAAATGGGGCAGATTTTTTTACACTCCGCCGCGTCACGTTTTAAATGATCGGACTTGTACGCGCACATATTGACGAATAATATTTTTTACGTTAAGCGAGGTAATTGTTTAACGTTTATGTAATATACCTACTGTACCTACTATTTTGTTACTTTTTTTTTATGATTTCACGTGTTTGTGTACACAAAAATACATCGTAAAGTTCGCAAAAAAAAAAATATCAGACGTGATATTATTRTTGTACAATAAACAAACCGTTTTTTCTTCGCCAGATTTTAATTGCAACAATATATTGTTTGTTGAACAGGAATTATGACCCTAACAAGTACCCCGTGTGACCTGAGTACCATGAGTCTGTTTCAAGACCTGAAACTGAAGAGGCGCAAAATAGATTCAAGGTGCAGCAGTGACGGTAAGATTTTTTAGATACCTATAATAGTAGTATTATGTACCTAAAACTATMATATTTAACTCTTTTTTGGTTAACGATCTTATGATTTTTACTAGGGYGATTTTAAAGAAGTAAACTATGTTTGTTTTATAGTTAAATTCAATCTAATTAGAAAGATAACTATTTCATTTTGACGAAAATATCTCGTTCAGATCAGATGAAATTAATTTTTGTTTTGATTCAGCTGTATCGTGATAACTAATATGTGATAATAGATAATAGCTCAATCTTATTTTTATTAATATCTTGCAGTTTTTATTTCTTATAAAAAATAAATTTTACCAACTTTTAAATCAATGATAAGGAACTTATACTGTAAAAATATAAATATAATGTGTACCTATTTTGTTCAATTGCTTAGTTTATGTATTATTTCTGTCGTACTGTACCTATTTATGAGCCATGAGGTAATAGTTTTCAATGTCTGCTTATTCAAAAAAAAGATTATTGTMTAATTATTTGCATAAAACCCTTAAAAATAATTTAATATTTCCCCACATCTTAACCACTAATTCCTTTRATAATTTTAAGCTTTTCAAGTTATTATAATAACATATAATTCTTAAGTATTTTAACTATCTATGTTTGCAGTTTTATTGAAATATTTATATTAAAATTCATGATTTAAGGTGGTAAAATAAGCTATTTATTGCTTTCATATAACAAATGATATCTAAAATCTTATTTTCGATTTGTTTCATATTATTCACTTGATTCATTTATTCACCCTATTAATATATCATAGTTTTACTTAGATAACTTCCTAACAATTTTTTTACTATTTTGCATAAACCATTTAGACGATTTTAACACCTCCTCCAGTTATTTCATGTTAGATATTATATAGTAATATTAAATAACAATTAGAGGAGTATAATATATGGACATACAGACATACCTATTTAAAAGTCTCATTTTTAATAAAATCAGAAATACAATATAATAAAAATTTAATTTTTATCATTTTATTCTATCTATATTATATTGTATATATTATAATATTTATGTATAACAAGCGTCACAACGAATACTAGTTTTTGTAATTTCTTCGTCGTCAACCCGTAACAATATGACGTATTTATATAATATACTTATTAATCGAAGTTGACCCTAGCTACAAGCCGTTGGAACGAAATATTTAACCCACTGACCGAGACAAATCGACATCTCAGATACAACATATTTGTTGTTTTGACACTGAACTCGTCCGTATTATGATGATTCTTTACGAGTCACCGTATATTTATTATTGGGGAAGAAAACTTATGTAGTAAATAGTAGCCGCAATAACGTACATTAGGTACTTATTATAAAATACTACAATACATGGCAATAAATACGTCCAAGCCGTCCAGAATAGTTGGACACCGACTGGTTTCCATTGTGGCTAAGGTCATGGGAACCTATCTGTAACACAACCCCTAATCACGGGTTTGTCACGGTAGTTTTTTGTGCAGCACGTGGGGTTTTCGCCCACGTGGCCACACCGGTACGACTCATGGGAACTGACCTGACCCAATTCCGTAATGTCGTTTTTATTTCTTTTCATATAATATCAGTATTATTATGTACAATATAATATATACATATCAGTTCCTTCATGATATTTTTTTCCCCAAGAATCAGACGACCTATATTATCATATAATTCATCGATAATCTTTGACAACAATAATAACAATATTATTATTTATTATATATTAAGGTACACGCCTATTTCTAAAACCGAAACCAAATGTTTTCGATTTTTTTCTAACAATTTCACTGTAATATACCTGTCATTCTCCTGACTTAGGTTTATAAGGGTATAWACATATAAATATATATATATATATATAAATCTGTGTGTATATGTAATCAATATAGATACCTATTATTTTATTATATACTTTATTTGAAAATCACATCATTCAGTAGTTAGGCGAATATAATGTTATTATAGTTACTTTATTGTAATTCGCTGCGTATATATGGCCCCCTGAGTGCGTGACCTAATAAGGAGTAGTCAAAACGACTTAATATAAACTTAGTTTATCTTATCTGTCCTGCAATAGTGAAATACCTATATGACTATACCTATACATTTATTTGCGGRCCTATTTATGTATGCACGAAACTATACGGACAACAATATCGGTATAACGCGTATACATCCATTAAAATAAACTTTAATTAARTACTTCTTATTAATTATACAAGTTTTAATGATCTTTTTTTGTATTTATGTTTGGACAGGCGAGAGCATAGCGGACACTAGTACTTCATCACCAGACGTCGCTGGTCCGGCGTCACCATCTAACCGAATGGACAGATCAGTACCGTCACCTGGGCTCATCATATCGATGGATAGGTAMGATTTATGCTAACATATCGAAAAACGTATTTAGGAATTGCAAATGTATTTGATCGTGGTTTTCAATAGATTTTGAAACCATCTATAAACAACTCGTTTTTCAACAAAATCGCGTGATTGCAACTATACACTGCGATATAACCTCTTGATTAAATTCTATGTTTTTTTATCACTWTATTCAACAGTTGAAAAATACAACTGTCTATAAACAAAAATCTGTTTATACACRATGCTTTCAACTTTCAAGAATATTCATTACCTCGAAGACCTCTAAAGTATCGTATGAGACGCAATAATAGGCAAACGTCATATTAAGTAGATTCGATTCCGACCGTTTTAAGGGAGTTAGTATAGGCAAATTTAAGTGCTTGCGACTTTATTGTCTAAGAGATTGACGAGTGCTTCAGCACACGCATCCACATTTCAACAATCTGTAATTGTCGACTAATATTTTCTGCTAAAAAGTTCTTTTTATCCCATGGTACCATCATATTCAGTTAAATTTCAAAAACATATTTAAAATTTTTAAGAAGTTTACTTGAGATTAATCATCCAAATTTCATTTATTCTTTTTTTTTTAATTATGTGTAGTGGCTGTTCTGTTTAGTGTTTCAACATTATTCAATCTAAGCGAAAGGTAAAAGTCGACATTTTATAAAGTGGAATAATCAATCTCAAGTTACCTTGATAAAAAATTTAGTTAAATTTGATTTTAGATTTATAAGTTATTATTTTAACTTTTCTGTTTTTACTGATGTACAACCATGATTAACCCACGTTTAATTTAACGCCCCCCCCCTCCCCGATAAGGTTCGATGCCCAAATATTGTACCCGAGTAGGTCCAGCTTTAGATTGAATATTTATATCTTTATGTGCTCTATACCGACTATACCATATACAATTAAATAAAAATATTTCGTCTAAGCGCCAATCATCATTACTCAATATTATTTGTGAACGTAAAATAATATACATTTGCTTATAAATTCGTCTCGGGTATGTGTGTATACAGAATGACGTCGTCTCCGGAATGCGGAAGCGTGACCACGGATAGCGGGCAAGACCCGAATGACGTGGGAGAAGGCGTCAAAGTAAAAGAGGAGATGTTAGACGACACGCAACCGAAAGATGCGATCGGGATGGGATACGAAAACGGGACGGTGGCCGATAACAAGACGGAACCACCGTCGCCGTCGCCATCACCTTCGGCGGTGGTCACAGCGGCGTTGGCGGCGGCGACGGCAGCAGCGCAACAGGAGCAGCAGCAGCAGAGACGCGAGTCGGTGGTGATGACCAGTCCGTTGAGTTGCGTTGTCAAGTCACCATCAACCCCACCACCGCCACCATCGTCGTCGTCGTTGTCGCCACCCTTAACTTGGACGACGGCGACAGCTCAAACGAATCCATCACCGCTGAGGTGTTACACACCCTCCTCCGTCGCCAACTCGATGTCGGTGACGCAGCAGTACCAGCAGCGCCGGCAATCCGTAGTCACTTCCGTGTCATCAGCGTTTTGGAACACGGGCACGCAGACTTCAGCCGCGTCCACTGCGCCGGGTAACGCATCCGCGGCCACCGCCGCCGCAGCGTCCGTGCTGTCCGTGTGTCGCATCAACGGCGTCCGGCCTGAGCTTATTGGTGGTGCAGGATTCGCGACCACGACTGCGGTCGCTACCTGCAACACTGATATGAAACCRCCKGCTGCCATACCTCCACGGACTACCCGGTCTGCACCTACTGTCATAATGGGTGAAGCAGGTTAKTCATTAAAATGCATAATATCATCATCATCGTTTTAAACGTAACCTATACAACGATTCGAGGAGTAGACGATTTTTTTGGGGGGCCGAAATTTTATTTTCTGCTGTCAATTATAATAACAACCAAAGTGATCAACCACACGACATTCATTCAATGACAGTTTTGTAATTCTAAGATAATTGTGTTTCACAGGTGGAGTGCGGACTATGATCTGGTCCAGTCCACCCTGCACCGTGGAACAATCTACGTCACCCGCCAGCACTGGTTGCGGTTCTGTAGCATCAACGGTCAGCACGCCGTACTGGTCGTCTGCGAGCACGTGGTCGTCCAATACGTCGTCCACTTCGTCACCGTCACCGTCACCCGCGTCGGTCAGTGAAGAGTCAGCTGCCCATCTCCTGCTGAACCTTGGCGTGGCCGCTGGCCACGATGTAGCGTCTGTCATCAGCCACGTGCCCGGTCTCAGGCCCATTGGGGGTCAACTACAGCAGACATCGGTTGCTGGTGGTGGAAACGGAGGCGGTGGTGGTGGTGGAAACGTCACCGGTGGTGGACAGCAGAGCTTTCACGTGCCGCTCAATATGGAACGGCTGTGGGCTGGAGACCTGTCGCAACTGCCGGTAGCCGCCACGCATCAGATGCACGCGCTCAACCTGACGGCTAACACGGGACCTGGATGGCCAATGGCCGGTTCCAATAACGACAACAAGTCTGCGCCTGTCAACGCATATCACCAAATGGAGGAGGCCGACGAACAGGAACAGCCCATGGTGTGTATGATCTGTGACGACCGAGCCACAGGTCTCCACTACGGCATTATCACTTGCGAAGGGTACGTATTATTAAATTCGAAGTAAATACTGTGTAGGGGTAAATCCATAAAAATAGTTTGTTGACGTGATTTTGCGTGAGAGCAGCTTAGTATTACAAATTACWAGGGTTAGTCGAAGTTAGAACAGTCGCAACGTTAATATAGGACGTGCATCTCGATGATAGTTCAATAAATAAAATAATAACCTAAATTAGGTAGCTGGAGTGTGGATTTTTAATATATAWAAAAAAAATTATAAGATGTTAAAAATAAAAATATTTTATGTATTATTAGGTTAGGTTTGGTTGAGCGCATTTGAGCTAGATAACTAGAATCGAACACTCTCACTATTCCACCGCAAATTGTGCAGCAATAATGCATATCAGGTGGGCATTCTGCACGTAGCTTTCATTACGTTTTTCCTTTTTTATGAAGTCGCGTTGCTCAAGAGTTTAATGTCGTATACGACTATCACTTGAATTAATTTCTAAGATTTTAAAGTCCAAATTGCATCGSTTCAAAATTCGGTTAAAGTGCGTATTTTTTCTGGAAAAACACACGGCACAACGGATGTCGCAAATGTATCAACGGTGCGGTGTAGGTATATAATATATATATATGTTATAAGTACGTATCGTCGTCAGTGTAACTGTATAACTCTTAACGGTACGCCTCGTCTCCCTCAAGGACGACGACTTTTTTACTACAAGGTTATAGCATAGTAATTTTATTACGCGCACGTTTCCATTCATTCGATATAGGAGTCGTTAACACTAGCATAAAAATCATAAAATTTATCGTATTTATTATAATTATTTTTTTATCTGACAAATGTTTAACGTTTTTCTTATTTTCTAAAACAGATGCAAGGGGTTCTTCAAACGTACCGTTCAAAATCGGAGGATATACACGTGTATAGCTGAAGGCACTTGTGAAATAACAAAAGCTCAAAGAAACCGATGTCAATACTGCCGGTTTAAGAAATGCATCGGTCAAGGAATGGTGTTGCAGGGTAAGCAAATTGTGTCGAGAGCACTAATTAACTATATTTATAAAAATAAAGACATCATTAAAGAAATAATACGGTAATAATATTTTATTTTGTCGTGTTTCTTTCATTTAGCCGTCCGAGAAGATAGAATGCCCGGTGGACGAAATTCTGGCGCTGTATACAATTTGTACAAGGTAATAATACTAATAAGCTTATTAGTGTTGAGTTATTTTTGCATAGCCAAGTGTCATGGGATTAAAGCAGGGGTCACGTATTAAATTATATAACGTTTGTAGGCACCTTTGATTTTGCTTTTGTGAGTAGTGACCAGCACAAACGGTATAATAATTATAAATATAATTTAATTATTTTGTCGACTTTTGTTGTTCCCTGTCGTTATACTTTTAATACACGTTTATAATAATTAATAATATTGTATTATGATTAATTTGATTAATGTTGCACTTTTATGTAACTACTTAATTTATTAAAAATACGAATAATGTTTTTTTAAATTTTTATTGTAAGTATTTTAATGACTACCTATTAAAAAAAATATCCCTGTTTAAATAATTTGAATTCGCCCAAGTCACTCCACTGGCTATAGAAAAAGTAATTATGACATGTTGCATAATATTATTACGGATTAATTGTTATTGATCATTAGATGTTTACAATTTTTTTATTTTGTTTTTTTAAATTAAGATTTAAGAAATGTAACATTATCATCGTTGAATTATTATACGCTTACTTAAATAACATTATACTAAACCACTCACATTTTAGGTAAAATATAAGAAGAAGAGGCCTCCAAAGAATGGACAAGTCAAAATGGAGAAGTCTGTTGCTTGTACAACGGCCAGTACGATGACCACAATTAAAACAGAAAACCAGGATAACAATTCCTCGTCCATGTCGACTCTGGTCAACGGCACCATATTAAAGACTGCACTAACGAATCCCAGCGAGGTAAATAGTACATTTTAAATGTTACGCCAGAGTGTTAAATTTATGTTTGTATAAAAAAAAAATGTATACCTATTGTCATTGTCCTCCACAGGTCGTTTATCTCAGACAACGACTAGACAATGCTGTGAGTTCGTCAAGAGACCGTACGTTTTCGATCGAAGCTACGGTGAACATGATCAAGAACCTCATGGACTGCGACGAGTTTCAAGATATTGCTACTCTGCGGGTAAATACACGATATATTAACATTTTGTTAAGAAATGAAAACCTACAGTATGTAGATAGATATATAGGTAATTTTAACATTTATTTATCAAATGGTAACATAAATAATAATATGTTACATTAATTTTGACGAGTGAAAATTGTAAACATACTCATAATAAATTCTTTAAGTCTTACACTGAAAACTTTTTTTTTTCATTTTACAATCTAAGCAGCAAATAAAATAATGGTTGATATACAAAACTGAAAACGTTGGTTGATATATTCCAATTCGTGTGCTGTATAATACTGTAAAAAATTTTGTATAGCATATTGTGTATTTGTAAACACACATCGAAAATACCGGTTTTAATATTAAATATTATGTAAATTGCATAATATTGTTATTTTGTTGAGTTGATTTCTATATAATATTACTGTACGGTATTTTGTTTAATGTTTATAGAACATGGAGGACTTGCTCGAACATAATTCCGATCTGTCAGCCAAACTGATGCAGATCGGCGACTCGATCGTGTACAAACTGGTGCAGTGGACCAAGCGTCTTCCGTTTTATCTCGAATTGCCAGTCGAAGTAAGTCTAGTTAACTACTGAAAACTTTGGTGTAAAAAAGCTCTATTATTAAAGTTTATATAGATTACAGATTTTTTTTTTWAATTTAATTTAATATTTTGGTTACTGGACCTCACTGARAAAAATTCGTGTGGAGGCCCAAGGTTATCTAGTTTACAAATTATTCTTATTTCTGTAGGTATATACTACATTTTTGTATAAAGATAAACGTGGAGTTTTTTTCATTATAAATCATATAAATAATTTTAGCAACAGTGTTGTTTGATATGTTATGTACAATATTGTCAATATTAAGTTTTATAGTAACATTATATTCATATAGAAAGAAACATTGATGCATAGAGGTGTTTTGATAGCACATGTAAAAAAAGTTATCCATCCAACCATCCACTTAATTTTTTTTTATTTAAAAAAATATTCTTGCTGCTCTCTACAATTTTATTGTACTCAATCTATCAATTATAATCACTTATTAATCACTGACCACTGTAGTTCGTGGAAATTGATTATTATAGCCTTGTTTATATTATAAATTTATAAATTTTCTTGTGACACCAGTAATTTACATCCATCCCTTCGAGAGCACACTCAGTTGCAATATACTTGACAACCAGTTTGGATGCCATTGAAAAGAAATATGAAAATTTTCATAAATATAAATCCATTAAATAATTCAATACCTACTATGATCATTAAACTTATAAAATAAAAATATTATATATTTGTTTCAAATGTTTCAATACATATATTCAAATAGCGTGATTTACAATATATTATACATTATATTACTAAAATAATTAAATATACATTTTTTTATTTTGACAATCGGTATACAAATAATATMCGTTCAATTTAATAATTCAATATTACTATTCGTTAGCTAAACTTATAACTAACGTCATTGTATTAAATACATACATATGAAGGTCGACGACTTACGGTGATAGTGTACAGAAAGCAGTTTCACCGTACACTATATACATTTTCCAGTCAGATCATTTGTACCGGAAAAGTCGTGTGCGTGCAATATATATAGCCATATAGGAATAACTAACTTTTAATTCAATCGAAATGTAAAATTGTCCTATCATCTTAATACACCCTGCTACAAATCAATTCATAAACTACGAATTGATTAGAGCATGAGGCGTGTTTACGTATTTTGAGATCACAATAACTCAAATATTACGTTTTACAGGTGCATACGAGACTTTTGACACACAAGTGGCATGAACTACTAGTGTTGACCACCTCTGCGTACCAAGCAATACATGGGCCTCAGAAGATATGGAACTCAACCAATATGAACGGTGACCGGAACGAGGATTCCGAGTTCCACCAAGAGGTATGAACTTTTGACGACGCTATATTTACTGTTACAAATTTACAATATACTTCATATTAAACCTGATTGTCCGCAGGTGTTTCAAAATCTGTGTATACTACAAAACTGTCTGTCCTCGATGATGGGCAAACCCATAACGATGGACCAGCTCCGGCAAGATGTTGGCGTAATGGTGGAGAAGATCACACACGTCACTCTCATGTTCAGGAGGGTAAAGCTGCGAATGGAAGAGTACGTTTGCCTGAAAGTCATAATTATGTTGACACAGAGTAAGTGCATTAAATATTACCATGAGCACCTATAGGCAATCCAGATTCCAGAATAAAATCTTATAATAATCGTTTTWCTCAACACTTTCTTCTTCTACAGATAATGGTAATACCACTAGTGAGCTGGAAACCATCCAAGAGAGATATACATCTTGCCTGAAGACTTATGTCGAACACACTTTTCCCATGCAACCCAACAGGTTGCAAGATCTCCTTCAACGACTGCCAGAGGTAAATTATATACTTTTGCAATATAACGACCGTGTCCTTAAATCGAGTATAGGTACTATCTGGCCTTAATCTAAGGAAATATACAAAAATCAAAGTTGGCAAATACTTTTAATATATATATATATATATATACATATTAAAAACTTATCGAATAATAATTCTAAGTAATACTCAAATAATTATAGGTTTAATACATAAAAACATTAATTTATGTACAGGTWGGTAATACAATACAATATAATATATTATATATATACATTTTTAAATAAGATATTGTTACACTTTAGTACAACTAACACTGTTTATTTGAAATGTCCATCAATCATCCTACCAACACATAATTTAATCAATGATTCTACAATATTGCGTTTTCACAATTGTAAATAACACACTACCATGAAAATTTCATGTAAAATAAAAATTTTTAAATTGAACAACCAGAAAATAAAAACTAAATACCTGTTCAATACTATTCAAATACTTTACAACACTGCATATATATATTATTTCAATTCCAATACATTCTCGTATACCCATACCACAATTACAATTATATCAAAATTATATTGTGCTTAAATTATTGATTTTAAAATTTACAACACTTACTACTATCTTGCCAATTGTCTTCAGAGTATTAGTCATCAACATTCTTCTTTGGATTGTAAAGTGCAAAATTCTTAGAACAAGGCCTGCGTGTACCTTTTACTTACCCCTTCTCACGAAAAATATAAATACCGTCAGATGCAATTGACATTTAATCGCGTTATTTGAATTGATTTACGTTACACTTTTTTCCACCTTACAGATTCAGTCAGCTGCTTCGCTCTTGTTAGAGTCAAAAATGTTTTATGTGCCTTTCCTCTTGAACTCCACGATCAGAAGTTAGTGCGTACATTATGCACGGAGGATAGCTACTGATCATCATTATTATAATAGAATAGAACCAGTTACCAAAATAATAACTATAATATATTATGTAATATATGAAAGTTAGAACACAGAAGAAATGGAAACGACTAGATGTTGTCACCTTCACGCGCACGCGTGTGTGATTGCTACCGTATAATAATTATATAGTTAGTACGTATTCGTTTTGTAGGTAAATTGAGCATTGTTGATTGTTATATTATTATGTGACCGAGAGGAGATTCTTATATTCTTATATTAGGAATATTTTTTTTAAGTTTGTCTTGTTTTTTTTTTTTAATGTATTACTAATACGTTTCATTTTGTAACTCTTGATATTTTCCTTTATGATTTGGGAGTTATTTAGTCGTCGGTACAAGCTTTATGAGAATATCTATATAATGTTAACATAATGTTAGTATAATAATAAATGTCCGCGAAAATTTGTCCCACTTCTGTATAAACTACGTATATAAATATATATACATATATATATATATATATATATATATAATTTTAAGATAGTATAATTATTACAATACGAGAAAAGTTTTTGAATGAGATTATAATAATAATAATATATGATGATTATGATATAGGTATACGCATATGGGTTACCTTTGTATTATTATTAATTATTAATTAGGCTTAATTGTAGTAGTAATGTTATATTGTATTTCGAGCGTATAAAACTATAAACTGGTGCGTACCTAAATCATATTATATACATATATACATTAAATACGATAGTATAGGTATGTACTATGTTTAAATGAAGTAGGCTGATTGCTGAAGTATATTATCTTCTCTGTCTGTGTTTCTTTACATCTCCATCCCCCATGTATCTATTTTTTTTCTTTTCGGGTGTTTCTATACAGTAAACTCTCTTCCTTATTTCGCTCCATTGGCGGTAGGCAAAACATAATGTGCACCGTCATTGTCACACACACACACACACACACACACATACATAATATACTCGAGATGGCTATAAATTATTTTGGTATTTCTGACAACTTTGTGATTTCTTATTAACGTAATTATGTAATTATAATAGTAAAAATATAGTTTGACTTACATAATTTKCATTCGTCTCGTAATATAAATAAATATATATTACTTTCGTACCTATATTATTTTTAAAAAATAAGTAAATACTTAATTTTTTTAATTGACACACTGCCAGTATATAAATAACAATTTTGCATTATACTACTTTTATATTTTCATAAAAAAAAAATAAGTAAAAAAAATAAAACGTGAAAATTATATTTTTATACATTTTTCGTATAAACGAAAAATTAATTTTAATATATTAAAATAATAATAATGTAAAATTTAAGTTAAATTAAAAAAATTGAATTTCGATAGATATCTATGTTTATACATATTAACATAAATGATATAATATGTATTATGCATTTCACAACATCATCTCAACGGATGGTAGGTACCCATTTAAATTTAATACTTAGGTTTTTTCTTAATAAAATCCCAATGCGTTTTAATCTCAATCGTATCGGTCGGTTTGTTTTCAAATACCACCCTATTCCTCAAGCAATTTCTAGGTTACCTACACATACAAAAAATATGATATGATATATTTACCTCAAATAGATAACCTATTTAATATTCACGATTATTGAAATATATACYTAATATACCTAACGGTTTAGGTAGTTACACTACACAAAATTATACATGTTTAGATTTAAATCTATAGCTGAGTAGGTAGTCAAATATTAAAGTTACCAATTTATTGAAATATAATAAAAACGACTCCTAAACTAAAAAAGAGATATTATTATAAATAATAAAATATAATATACCTACGGACTATATGCTACGTAGGCTAAGGTGCATAAYAAAAACATAAAACGAATATTAGGCTCGAAAAAAATAATGTTGAAAATAGGTACACACATATAATATAATATATGTTGCAAACATGTTCCTTTAGTATAACTGATAAGAAAAATATTGTAAATTATGTCCATTGTAATTTTTTTTTATAGGAGTAATATGATATTGGGGATAGGTATTATTATCTTGTTTAACCTTTTTTTGTTAATTTGTAACCTTTATTATTTTCTTGATCGTTATAAATTGTGTTCCAACATAACTAACGTTGTACTTGAAAACTAGATTTTGTAAAATGTTTAAATGTTTATTACTTGTGTATAAGAAAAAATATTTATAATACTATAATAATATATACATAATATACATATTTATATATATGTAAAATAATAATAATATTATATTATGTAAACACTGACTGTTATCCGTGAAAATCGGTGCCTTTGCGCTTGTTTTTGTTTTAAATCATATTGTAACAAAATCTGTCATTTTGATAAAAAATATATAATTTAATATGTTTGATAGAAATGTAGGCTATAAAAGTAATTTAAAATAAAAATTATCTATCAAAGCAATAAAAAGTAGTAAATTGGAAAACAAATTTAAATAACTGAATCAAAAGACTTGTTTTATTATAATATCTATATATAAAAATAATCATTTTTTCAATTTTATACGATTACTAATGTACAATTTTTATTTTAACATTTTTACGTACACAAAAATATAATAATTCTTTTATTGATGGTTGTTTACTATATAATTTTAACCGGCCAATATAATGTAATATTTATATCGGTTCAGTTCGATTTTTTTTTCGAACATCTGCAATACAAAAAAGTGATACAGAATGTTTTTAATTTGGAATTAAATTCTTTGTGTTTTAGTTTTTAGTTTTAATTAGTGAACTACACGCGATAAATGATTTCTTATAATAAAAAAAAAATAGAGTTAGAACACTCAACAGCTTGTCTATCGGGCCTGTTATTGTTCAAATCATCTATGTAATGTTCACACAACCTTATTAAATTCTATCGGTGTAATTTATTATAGTTTATAATCAATTTTTATTTTTTATCGTACTTTTTAATACTGCGATTTAAATCAATGTAATTTTTTTGTAACTTAGTAACGATGATATTTATTTTAAACACCCAAAATGACTGTAAAACGTTCTGAAACACTTAACCACCTGTAAATATATCATTTTATTATGGAATTTTAAGTAATTCATGACACATAAAAGACAATTTTATACGTTTCTAATTTTTTTTTTAAACAATGGTTTTCTAACAAAAATAATTAATATAATATTTAATTAAAAAATTAAAACATAATTGTGATAACTATTTGAACATTAAACGAGCTCAATTGTTTTCCTTTTTTTCTAGATTTTTCAAAAATATTTTGCTTTTCATTTGACTTTAATATTACATAATATTCACTGCATAATACATACATATTATGATATAGTGTATTTTTATTATTATCATTTTTTGTTTAAATTTTTTTTAATGTGAGTCGTCATTTTTCTATATAAATGCGAATATTATAGCCTACATGACTTAAAACAATACGCTAGGAAATTATTTATATTTTGTACATAAATTGATATTTTAATTATTACAATATTTTATTTTGTAAATAAAAAACGTTCAGTCAGTATTTGTACAAAATTTATAGACATTCACTTTATACCTACTACTATAGTGTAATATTTTGATTTTTGATACGATTCAAGTAAAAGATTATTACATATTATTAGCTAGGGTATTAAATTAATTGATTATTAAACACGCTGATTAAGTTTTGAAAGATAAACATAATTATAATTTATAATATATATTTGATGTTGTTTGTTTTATTTCTTTTTAAATGTCGATACTAGTGTAATATTGCATTTTGTTTGTTTGTTTTTATTTTAATTTTGTTTTTAATATTATTATTATTATTATTATCATTAGCCTATTTAAAATCTATGATTGGAAAAGAGAAAAAACTTTATTTTTTCTTCTGCAAAGCAAAATGAAAAAACATCTTTTACTGTATGATATCTTACATGTAACGCCTACCTATTTGTTTTATAAACTAGACAGGTAATTTGGTAAATAAATAATAAAAAATAAAAAATAACAATACTGTTTCCGTTTAATGTTTTATTATTTATATCTATTATAATATATAAGACCTATTTGGAAACGCAGAAGCCTCCGATGGGGCCGCCTGCTATACTCTGGCTGGCTTGACCACGTCGTATCTTCTCATCAGTGCATGAGCACCATTCAAGAGTGCATGGGCAACATTCACGACAGTAACAACCTCCCAAATACCGAATCCTGCGAGCGACAACTGGACTCCTTATGTTGAGCAATTATCAGTGCGTTTAATTATTTCGATTCGAGTGTTTTGAGTAATAATTACGTTGTTTCACTTAGTTCTTTTACAGTATAGACCACAGGCAGCTGCAAGTCAGATAAAGCTAATATGTACTACTACACCACTGCAGTTTATTAAACATAATGTATTGTTATAAAAATAGTATAGAAATACATTGTAGTTGTATGCATATATAACATCTGAATCTCCATTAAATAACTCGGCCATACGTTTTTTTTAAGAGAAAATTAATTTTTATATTGCCTAAATTCAGTGCCAGATTTAGCTGGGTTTTGCGTTATAAATAAAAAACATAATTTTAACAGCAAACCAAAATTTTAAGTTTTTGTATCAACAAATTATGTATACTATGTATAGGTACAAGTGTTAAATAAAAAGTGCCTATTATTATTAGGCACTGTTGTACATTGTACGATAAAAAAATTACATTATCAATAAATTACATTTTTGTGAAAAAAAGTTTCGAAAATATTAGTTTTAATTAGGAAAATGTGTTATTAATGAGACGTTTATGTAGGTACCTTATATTTTGAGAATGAGCGTATTTTGATCTTGTATTTTAGGACTTGACAATTTATGTAAGTGGCTGGTATATATATAGAGCACGGGGCATTAATTTAAAATATGATTGCTCTCTATTAATTTAATAGGTATCTGAGGGAAGATAGTTAAAATATAATCTTATGCCTCTATATAATTATATAATAATTTTGCATTAGTGTTGTATTAGATTTATTAATAAGAAAATTACCATTATCTTCACCTC